AGTCTAAAGTGTTGCAGTCCTTTGAGGTCGGGGTTATGTGCTCTTTCCTCACCCACCTCAAGTACAGGTGCATTTTTTTAAGTTTCTTTATAATTGTTTCCATTGGTTATGGTAAAATGTGGGCCATTTGCCTTACTGCGCAGCACCACAAAACGGTTTTGATCATGACAGTCTATATAACTTCGTATATTACACGTGTTGTTTGCTCAACACAATAAAACAACAACATGAAACAAGCAGCTACAGCATTTATTACAATCTTTGTGTGATTAAAGTGAATCAGCTTTTGGTCTTGTGCCATAACACAACTGGAAAGGCTTAGAAAAAGCTGCCCAAAGTGCATGGACTGTCATCAGAGCATAATGGTTGATGATCATGGCACATGATTTGTTCTTTCATTTTAGGTCACAAATAAGACATTTTTATTTACTTTAGGGTGGGAAGATTATACCTAATTTTCTCCCTAACACAAACAGATCTGCTCAGCTGCTGAACTATCTGCAAAGGTTTGTTGCTGCTTGTGCACTTTCCATCAGTGAGTGTGGGGCACATTTGAAACCAAAGGAACAAGCAATGGAAAACGGAAGAGTGCACTGCAATTTTACATAAGCAGCATTGAAAAGTGTAACAGAAACTTGATGGTTATTTTGCAGCTACTACATCTTACATCTTTACTCTTTCGTACTGCAAGAGCATAATCCAGACAAACAAGTAAGCTCCAAAGTACATACCCTTAGCATCATTGTTCAAAGAACGGCTATAGGAAATCTCTCTATCCTGCTTTGTTAAATGACAATGTCAATATGTAACTCATAATACATCCCGATTTAACATTATTAAAATACAAAAGATAATACATTCAATGTTTTACTTTTTTTTTCTATACTGGTTCACTACCACTATGTGATATAGTAGGTAGCTTTAAAAGTGTCCTGCACCAAGAACAGGACAGCTTTCTTAGAAATTATTTTGCTTGGAAAGTTAAAAACTGAGATAGCTAAAAAAAGAATAAATTGACATCCACGAACTTCTCGATTCTGTTTAATAAACTCTTGTTGCCCTCTAGCGTTCAAATGTATTTAAATTCCCCTGCAGAACCCAGACCCAGACAGGTAACATAACTTCCCATATGCTCCTAAGGATGGCAATAAAAAGGTAAGCTTTTCAGTACACCTGCCTAGTATCTGCCCTTCTTTGCTCCAGCATAAAAAACAATTGATATAAGAAAATCTAAATTCATTTCTTTCACTTAAAAATAGTGAGAAGCCAAGCAGCTCAGCTTCCTCACCAAATCACCTGTGGCACACATGCAGCTCTCTGACTGCTATACTCCTCTTAATCACAATGCGGGATGGGTTGGTTGTCTAAAGAGAGTGTTCTTAACTACACTGGCCAAATACATGCTGAATGCTGTCAGTGACCTTGTGCCAACCTTCTCTTGAATGTCTCTCTACTGTGTTCTACCATATCAATTAATACTGCCTCTCCTCCACTCTGGATCTACCATATCAATTAATACTGCCTCTCCTCCACTCTGGATGCACCCCAGAGTGCTGCGGGAGCTGGCAGATGCCATAGCTAAGCCGCTCTCCATCATCTTTGAAAGATCCTGGAGAATGGGGGAGGTGCCGGAAGACTGGAAGAAGGCCAATGTCACGCCAGTCTTCAAAAAAGGCAAGAAGGAGGACCCAGGCAACTACAGGCCAGTCAGCCTCACCTCCGTCCCCGGAGAAGTGATGGAACGGCTCATGCTGGCCGTTGTCTCCAAGCACATGGAGGACAAGAAGGTGCTCAAGAGTAGTCAGCATGGATTCACCAAGGGGAAATCTTGCCTGACTAACCTGATAGCCTTCTATGATGAAATGACCAGCTGGGTAGACGAGGGGAGAGCGGTGGATGTCGTCTATCTCGACTTCACCAAGGCTTTTGACACCGTCCCTCACAACATCCTCCTGGGCAAGCTCCGGAAGTGTGGGATAGATGAGTGCACAGTGAGATGGATTAGGAACTGGCTGGATGGCAGGGCCCAGAGAGTGGTGATCAGCGGTGCAGAGTCTAGTTGGAGGCCTGTGGCTAGTGGGGTCCCCCAGGGGTCAGTCCTTGGTCCAGTCCTGTTCAATTTATTCATCAATGACCTGGATGAAGGCACAGAGTGCTCCCTCAGCAAGTTTGCTGATGATACCAAACCGGGAGGAGTAGCTGATACCCCAGAGGGCTGCGCTGCCATCCAGAGGGACCTGGACACACTGGACAACTGGGTAAGTTGACCATGAGGCAGCAGTGTGCCCTCGTGGCCAAGAAGGCCAATGGGATCCTGGGCTGCATTAAGAAGAGCATCTCTAGCAGGTCGAGGGAGGTGATCCTGCCCCTCTACTCAGCCCTGGTGAGGCCGCATCTGGAGTATTGTGTCCAGTTCTGGGCTCCACAGTACAAGAGGGATGTGGAGCTGCTGGAGAGAGTCCAGCGCAGGGCTACAAGGATGATCAGGGGCCTGGAACATCTGCCCTATGAGGAGAGGCTGGGGGGGCCGGGCCTGTTCCGCCTGGAGAAGAGAAGGCTGAGAGGGGATCTAATCAGTGTATATAAATACCTCAAGGGAGGGAGTGCAGAGGACAGGGATGGTCTCTTTTCAGTGGTGGCCACTGATAGGACTAGAGGAAATGGCCGGAAACTGAAACATCAAAAATTCCATAGGAACTTAAGGAAAAATTTCTTAACAGTGAGGGTGACAGAGCACTGGAACAGGCTGCCCAGAGAGGTTGTGGAGTCTCCTTCTCTGGAGATCTTCAAAACCCGCTTGGATGCAGTCCTGTGCCACGTGCTCTAGGTGTCCCTGCGTATGCAGGGGGGTTGGACTAGATGATCTCTAGAGGTCCCTTCCAACCCTAAGCATTCTATGATTCTATGATTCTATTCTATGATTCAAAACAAATCTGTTACTACAGTAGAAATAAGTGATAAGGATTCCGGGGTTGTTCCCCAACACCTCTCCTGTAGTGAGCTGCTGGCCCAGGCAATGTACAAGGTTTCTAAGTTGCCTTTCTTTATAAAGAAAAACAGTGAACCTCAGGTCTGTGCCTATAACATTACAGCCAACAACGGGACCTAATACTTTTCATTTTATTAACTCATTTTCCCCAAATGTTTCCTCCCCTCCTCACATTCCCTGACCAGAGACCCATGGAAATAGTTATATAAAAAAAAAAGGGGGGGGAGGTTAAACAAAGTACACTGAATTTGAGATACTTTTCTTTTGTTATTTTGTTCACTTTTAAGAAGTTACCCAGAATGGTTCTCATTTAAGCACTGTAAGGCTTAAGCAACGTAGAAAACCAGCTGTTTTTCTATCTATAAAGCAATTTGCAGCCCACATAGAGTAAGAATTCAACTTCTTGACATAAGGAACAATGACTTTTCTTTGATCTTTGAATAATGGAATTTTCAGAAAATTTTCTGCATGAGGTTATTGTTGGAGTTCTCAAAAAAACGGCCCACAGGCCCTTTTTGGAACACGTCTACTTGCCACCACACTAAACTTGACAGATCTCAGAACCTCTTGGACATGAGTTACTCTTCACATTTTGTAATAACATTATTTCCTTGTATTCAGGAGGCAGCCTTCCTTCCCTGTCCCCAGGTTTGCCAGTGATTATGCTGCCTGCCACACCGATGCTTTGATAGCTAGTCTTGCATTCTGCAAACACATTTAGACTGGGTAGCGATGGGGGAAAAAAACACAAATAATATGGAACAGGAAGCTGCATGGCAAATGGTGGATGCGTACACACATCTTTGTTCATCTCCTTTGCCTGAGATGGGAAAACTCATAGCAGGTTTGATTGTTGCCAGACACATGAAGACGACTCTAGAAACAAAAAAGATGTGCTGTCAGAGAAGGGCGATCCCTGCTGTTTGGGAGGGACAGCAAGCCCACCACCAAGGCTAGTAGCTCTTCAAAAGCTGCAAGGTAGTGCAGAAGTCCAAGTTTTGCAGGCTCATACATCTATTTCTGTTGGAAGCTTCTCTGAGGTAGGCAGCCTTGAGCACAGGTTGCCTTTCAAACTTTCTCACTACCCTTTGGTCCTTCCAGACATTAGGAAACTGGAGACCACACCTATTGTGTCTTCTATCCAAGAAAAAGCTGCTGTCTTTGCTAAGCCCCCTTCATGAGTTTCTGCTCTGTGATTAGCTGGTGGGTCTCACCTGTAACAGATTTAGGTTGGCTAGAATGGATTCTCTTTCATACAGGTGCCAAGTCACCTGGACAGGCCTTTGCCACAGAAGAGCTTGTTTGCAGGTTCCTAGACTTCGATATGATAAAACCTCTCTGACATATGCTGGAAAAAAAATAATTGTTTTACCTTTCTCTTTGGAAAGGGTAAACACAAATTTGTGGCATGTCATTCTAAGGATAGCTATGACAAAGGCATGTTGTATGCAGCTGAAAGCACAAAAGATCAATAAACTTCACATAACTAAGGAGAGTTAAGCAATGTGTGGTACGTAGAGTGCAACTTTTACTGTTTGAACCCCAAACCATTCAGACGCAAAACTCTGCTGGCAAGTACACCTTGAAGGCCACAGATATAGTAAATATTGCCAGAATTCTGTGAAATATTTCGGAATTTGGGGGCAAAACAGCACTAAAATGCTCATATGCTGTACAAGTGCTCAATGTTAGATGTACTTCCATTCCACTAATCTTGTCACAGAGTACAGATTAAGCTCTTAGATAGTTTTTTCCATAAAATAAATAACTTCTTAGTTTACCTGGGATATGAGTGTTTATTTTTAAGATTTAGTAATACACAAAATGTTATATATTATAGCACAGTGTAGAAAAAGCAGTTCTGTTTTCCACCAAAATCACTTGCTTCTTTCCCATTTGTGGCCACAAGGGAAAACAGAAGACATCCTCTTCCAAGATTCCAGCATCTACTGCTCAGTTTCAGAGCAGACCTTTCACCAACAAGCAGGTTTCCCCTTACCTGACCATTTCCCTCTCCCCTTCCCATCACACATCCGCATATATTCCATTGATCAAGTAATCCAGTCTGGTGTAGCGTCTCTTCTGAAGTGATTCATGGACTTTCTTCCCTGTCAGTGCAATAACTAGTAACAGGAATATCACCCCAAAAAATAAAGCTGCTACAAGACTGCTTTTTTCTCCCAGACGAATGACATCCCCCTGCCTCAGAAGGCCCTCCAGCAAGTAGCTTGGTGAATCAGATGGCTCAAAACTCTGATGGGTGTTTTGGAAAGCCCCGGGGGACTCATTACCAGGCAGAGTGAGATCTGAAGAGTGGAGGGTGACATGGCTGCTGTCACTGGAGGAGACAGCTGCTGGTGTCCGAGGGGTGGCTGCCCCTCTCCACCTTGGCTCGGTGCTGCCATTTGTGGTCACCCATTTGGCTGTAGTGGTAGAAGTCCTGGGACTTGAAAAAGGAACATGAGTAGCAGCAGTGCGGGCAGCTGGTCTGCCAGGTTCAGCTCTAGGCAGGAAGGTCTCTGTGGTGGTGGTGAGAGCACCAGGTTTAGCAGCAGCAGCTGGCAGAGAGCTCGTACTGGACTGCAGCCTGGTGACACTTGTAGGCAGAGGAGCACTGCTGGCTTCAGGGCCACTGGGCTGAGCCATGGAGAGTGAAGCTGAGAAATTTCCACTTCGAACAGAGAAGGATGCCTTTGTAGGCAGCAAGTTATTGACTTTCTGCCATGGGGTGGAGTTGAAGCTTTCAGGATGTTTTTGACCTTGCATTTCAAGTGAATCTGTAGGAAATTCACTACTGTCTACCTGCTTGGCCACATGGTTTGGGAGTTCAGGTGTTGGGTGAAAATCAGATTGTTGCAAAGCAGCGGCATGATTCAGACGGCTCACTGGACTGCGAGAAGTAAAGTCTCCAGCACCAAAAGACAAAGAGTATCCATTTCTGAAGGCTGTATCCTCCAGAGCTTGGATGTCTAGAAACAGAAAGAAAATATTGGTATTTAATTATTCAATCTATTTTTTGACTATGACAGGCTTACTCTCATCATTTTTTTTTCTTAGTAAAAGGAATATAAAGGGAATCCAAAAAGTAATGCTGGTCAATCTGAGGCATTGAGATTGTCCTTTCTTTTAAAATATGCAGACTGACTTTAAATTCTGCCCATGACATAAGACCTCCCAGCTTCAGACCTGGGTACATTAGACTGACTGCAGCTTTGTACGTAATTCACCCATGCAGAACCATCATCCAAATTTAGTCAAGTTTTATGCAATATGAATATACTGCCTACGTGTAAGTGTGTATTCGGAGGTGAAAAGCAGAATGAGTAGGCCCATTGCCTTTAATCAGTTCTCAGACTCATTCAATAAAGAAGTAGATAAAACATCACTTTTATTCATTTGACTTACACATTTCCACCGAGATAATTAGATACTCTCCTTTCTTGTAATATCAACCTGTCATTATTGGATATAATTTAATTCACATGCAAGAATTGTCTTAGGATCAAGGGTAGCAATAATATGTCCATTTTACAAGCTGGGAACTGAGTGGTGAGAAGCTAAGGGATTTGCCAAAAGCCATGTGGGACATCTGTAGCAGTCTGGGTGCTTTGATGAGAAGTCTCTCAAGCTTCAGGATCACCTGGAATAAGTATGTAAAAGTGCTCTACTCTGGTTCCATGCATGACTAGCACTGTGATATTATACTACATAAGACATCCCTGAGACATCTATTTACAGACAAAGTAGGAACAGTTGCTAATTTCTATGAGATTAGTCCTCCTCAACTGCAACAATATAGATTGTATTCCTGCAGTTTATATACTACATGGCAGTGAACCAGGCCTGTACAACTTACAAAATAAATTTCTGATCAAATAGTTGGCCAATGAAGGACCTAAGATCGCTAGTTGAGCTTTTACCACACAGCAAAAAAAGGATTTAGTGTCTTGCATGGTGAATGCAAACAAATATTGCTCAAGTTCCCAAACGCCAGGTAAAGCCTGGCAGTGAGTTCCGTTTTTCCACGATCATGGTAAAACACGCTTTTCAAATATAAATCCTGCCATAGACCAAAAGTCCTTGGAAAGACTGCTGGCACAGATCCTATGTTAGGATTTTATACTGTTATTGTCTAGCTGCCACAGGGAGTTTTGAAAGGAGACATGTTCTTGAGCAGTTCTGACTCTCACTCCTCGCTTTATTGAAAGACGCTTGCTAACTCTCATGGAATTGAAATAATAAAAAGTCATGATATATTCAGTCACTTCATTTTCAGCTCGCAATTCTTTCATATCTGGAGGGATTCTTCTCAGTTTTACTACACATAGAGAGAAACCTATTGGGCTACTGTTCCGATATACTTTCGAGCCTTCTGACTCCACTAGGGGAAAAAAAAAAAAAAAAGTGCTTTAAACAAAGGCATCGTGATTTAACTTGAACCAGAGGCATCACTTTTCATAATAAACCTGTGGCCAAGCACCACCTTGTTAGTAACGGGAGACCCTTAATGGGCTTCAACCACAAGGGCTGACTTCTAGAAGAGCCATATTGATTTTAGGAAGTGATTTAGGAAATAACAAATTGCTCAGGCGTTACCTAATGAGAAACCATATGGACAAAGGCAGAGCACATTTCCGCACCAGCAATGAAATGTCCGGTCACTGCCACCGAGCCAGCCCCCAAACTGTTGATCATTCCCTGTTCCCAGGGTTCTCCCATGGACACTCTGACCAGGCTGAAGTCGCACATTTCAATAGGAAAATTACAAGGCAAGTCCTCTCCCCGGGACTCTGTATCTCTTTCTGCAAGACAGGCGTAACAACACTTGGCAGCTACAAATCCCATGCAGGAGTTGAGCATCGTTGCTGCTCTGCAGCATTCAGACCAATGTAAGTGCCTGCATTAACTAACTCTACCCTATGTTTTCAGCATGAAGCACGGACCGTAAGGTATTTGTTGTCTCCCTGTTAGACTACAAGCTCCCAGATGTGCTTGCTCAGCAGTGCGGTGTGCAAGGCAGGGCCATGCTACTAGCATACTTTGAGGGAATTTGCTGGTCTTGCCTAGCTAACTTAATAGGGTGGAAAATCCAAGCTCCACAAAAGCAGAAACCAGAAATGCTCTTCCTTTTCCAGCTCGAGCTCTTTGCTACAGGAACCAGGATATGCCTTGCTTCACAAGCCATAGGTTGTTTCCATTAGTTAACAGTTTGCAAGAATAGTTAAAAACAAAAAATGTCACTACTTGATATCTTCGGTATTTTAAGTTGCTTTCTTTATGACCAATAGCTGTAGTCCTCACTTTTAGTTTGGGTTTCTGTGTAACCACACGCATATTCTCATTTGGAAAAACAAAGCTTGAAAGGGTTGTCGGTACTGACACCACATGGTAGCTACCTTTGAAAGTTTATTATAGGAACACAATGTGAATAAGCTGGCATAATCTTTTCATGATTCAATGCTCACAGAGGCCAAAAAATGCAAAATGCAAAACAGACAGCACAGGAAATGGAGTCTTTTCAGACCCTGTACGCATTTGGGGGGGTGGGAAAAGAGAACGTAATGAAAACCTTACAGGTGTGCAACCCGCCTGTTGCACACTGCACTAGCCCAATTCCTGTGCGATTGTGTCTGCACAAAATTATTTGGTAGCATTATGCAAATAATCCTTCTACATATCCCTGCTGTTGCTATATGCATAGTTCCTCTAGGAAAAGTGCACTTTTTCAGTAGAAGTTCAGCCTCTGGAAATACAAAATTCCTGCTCTCTCAAGCAGCCACACTAAAACTACCTTATGTACCCTTGGCAGGACAGCCTAATTCTCAGTTGCTTCACTGAGGAGTTCAAACCGGTCTGTTGTAAGTCGATGTCAGACAACAAGTGAGACTTTCTATTCAAATTGCCAGAGCACAGATAGAGAGAAAATTTGGAGTGTGCAGCCCACATGCCATAAAACTTTGAGTTTAGTCACTTCGCATCTGTGCTTCAGGTTCCCTAACTGGAAACAGAAATCAATTATTAATTTTCCCAGTTACTAACATCACAGCAATGCTCTGTGGCTTGCCGAACATTTGCTCAGAGTTTCTCCTTGTACATGCATGGTCTTCATCAGTCGTGTGAACCCTTTAAATATGCAGACAGCTACAAGGTCACCATGTTGCTATCTGTTTCAGCAATACTCGTCAGCACTATGTACAGGAAATTTTCCTCAAATAGAAAATATCAAAATAGAAGCAACTTTTTGTTTTAAGCAAGTAAAAACTACGCATGGCAACTTTCCAATGGTGGGATGTTGTTACTCCAGCTGGAAGCTGAGCCTGTGCAAACACTCTCTGAACACACTCCTGTCCAGCAAGCAAAAGAAAAGCATTTTCCAGGTTTTACAGTGCTTCTTTTATATGCTTTTGCTAAAAATGCAACCCCCAAATACCTGCTTGCTCCTGAAGTCATGAGAGCAAAAGCCATCTAGCATGGGGATCCCTAGCTTTTTTTTGTATGGTTTACCTCTAGTTATCTTGTAGCTCACAAGTCCCATTGCCGGTTTCGTTGGACAGGCCGCTGCGCTAGGGCAATAAAAAAGATAGCAGTTTGGATGTGTGCTTGTCCTTCGAGCATCGAAAATCATCAGGTTACACTTTTTGTCTCCTGCAAAAAAATAATATGTACATGTTTCAGCAGCAGTAACTTCTATAGCATCTTGATAATAGGCTATATCCTGTTAACTTAAAATTTTCCTGGTGTGAGTAAGAGGAAAGCAGCTCGTATATCACACTGCTCCAGGAAAGGCAGCACGGGGACGGCAAAAGAGTGGCCCAAAGCCAGGATGCAAAGGGTCACCCCTTCCTCTTCCTGTACAAACAGACTCTGGGAAAGAGGTGGTGAGTCTAAGCCCTTATCCACCCCTCATGTAAGGGCTGTGTGCAGATCCCACCACATCAGCACCACTTTCTGTAGTACTTTGTTGCTTGTAAATCCAGATAGACAGGAAAACCTCCCCATTATTACTTCTGGGGAGGGGGATTATTTGTTCACTTCTCCCACCACATCCCTGGAGTCTCTTGGCTCGGTAACGGTTGTTTCTATTTGCTGCTGGACCTCACGCTGCTCTGAGGGCTCGATGAAAGCCAGCAGGCACAGGGGAGGGTAAACGCTCCCTTTTCTGGCTGAAATTAAATGCAGCACCCGGTGCCAGTTACTTGGTGGTGTGTCCGGCTGCTAGCTGTGGTTAGACACCTTGCGGGGTGGGCGTCTGAGAGGTTTTAGCCCTCAAAAAAAAATCGGAGCTGTTTCTTCACTCCAGGGTCCATCATTAACATCTTGCATCATTGGCTGATACTCTAAGCAATTAATATTCCCGGTAACAGATTAATGTTTCAGTGTGGGGTATGCAGAAATGCCTTGTGCCTTCTCGTGGAGAAGCCGCACAAGCCCGGACAAATTCCAAGTGTTCCGTAAGCAGTAACAGAGAGCGGCAAAGAACAAAGCGTTACCTGGCAGTGGTTTTCCTGAGCAGCAAGCACGTACGCAAGCTCCTGGGCTTGAGGTGTAAACCGGCTCTGTGCCCCTGACGCCCTGGGAGAGCGCTAGGTTTATGTTGATGATGGTGTTGTCCATTTTCTCCACTGAGCAGTCCTGACTTCTGGACGGTGCCACTGCCAGGCAGGCGATGACCAGCAGGTAGCTGGGCCACCAGCAGCTCCCAAGAGCCA